AATTTTTCCATGTTGATATCGATACAATATATATATATATATTTGGGAAATATATATATATATCACTGGAAAGGGTTCAAGTTCAAGGTTATCCACTGACTGGGTAGGCCTTTGACGGATCACTCCTTGTCTTGCTGAAATGAATGGCACATCGCCTCGGCCAGTGTCCCATGACAAACACGAAGGGCGAATGGGAGCGCGAAGCTGCTTCGTGGTGCTCCTTCGGAAGCAGGAACAGGTCTTGTCTCAGTCTGCCTCCATAGAATCCCACAAAGTTTACGGAATTAATTTCATTGAATTTCCTCCAAGCAAGCAAAGTCCATGCTGCGTTCGTTTGGGGTGAATGTGAGGGTACGATTCTTTCCTAAGTAAGTCCTCGCCCCAGACTGTAGGCGCGCCCCATCTCCAGGCCACAGCCTGGGCCTCCACGCTATTCCACGTGCCACCCTGGAAGCGAAGATGACGGAAGCCGTCCCACGAGACCAATCGAGCGCAGCCCGGGCGTCGGGGGAACTCCCTGTAGCTCGGAGTCGGGGGATGGCTGGATGGTCGTGAGCTCCTTGGATGGCTCCTTAGCTCCTTAGCTCCCACCTGAGCAATAGCTTGACATATATTTAAAAAGATTACAAGAATCAAACCGCTTGCACTTCCAACGGGTGCCCTGTTTGGAGACCTGTTTACGTAGGGAAGGGTAGTCTATTGGACACCCATTGGTAGTCCATTGGCAGCTAAAGAAGCAACTCTCTGTCTCTCTCTCTCTCTCTCTGCGAGCCATTGGTAGAATAGTTCCACAGCATGGCATTGATCCAGTTTCCTGATCCCCCCCCATTTCGCATGACTGAGATCCGATCAACTCTTTTTACCAACGATTTCTGATCCGACCAACTCAGACTGAACATCATGTCAACATAATTCTGAACTCGCTCTCACCCCATTGGCCACCGGACTGCTGGTCGTGCTCCACCGTGCAAATCGCCCCCATGGCGTTTTGGATCCGTGATCGGCCGCAACCCGTGCTCGAGGAGCTTGGTTTCAAAGGACAAAAAGGCAGAATCATGGACATCTGCGTGCAACCAGTAGCGGCCCCAAGCGATCTCTCTCTCTCTCTCTATACTATACATTTATATATACATATAAAAAATCACATCTATTTTAAGCACTATATTGTATAAATAAATAAACAAATATATATATATATATACATAAGCTAGCATTTAAAGACCAAGCTTGCAGTGGAAAGTTCCGTTTCTGAAGCCTTGTGTTCACTCCCTGTCCACCCGCTCTAGAAGGAGCTTCCATCTCGACTCCGGCTACGTACTGCACTTGGAGAAGCTCTCAGATTGCAAACTACCAAGGGGTTGGGGAACTCCCTGTAGCTCCTTGGCTGCCTTGGCTCTCTGCATCATGGGGAATATGGGTACCCCCAGCCATCGCTCCTCCTGAGCAACAGTTCGGCAACGTCTGGAGAACGGGACAGTCGTTTTCCAGTGTCCGCTCTGCGCACGGGATGTGAGGATGAGGTCTGTCTCCGCAGTTCTGTACATGCAAAGAACAGAAGTTTGGGCGGTGCTCTGCAGCCCTCTTCACGGCAGTGACGCATCATGACGCATCATGACGCATCAAATGCCTGGGGCGGCTGAGCTAAAGCAAATTTGCTATGTTGATTCAATCCAAGGCAAGTGGTCTGCTCTGGAGCAAACACTGTAGAAATCCTGAGCGGCGGCGGCAGCAGGCCTTCCTCACAGGATGCGAGGCTGCATCAGCCGCTGACGTCAGCCTTATCGGCATCCCACTATTCATCATATGGTTCACCACCTGAAAGGAAGGACCTACTGAATCGACTGACCCCTCCTCGCGAAGATATGCCAAACACCGAGGTCCGCGTTTCTTCTGTGTCACACCCAGCAAATCGTAACACAGCCAAGAGTCCAAAGATGGCCAAATCATGCCAAATCCAAATTCCAATCTTCACATCTGCTCAGAGGTCAATGACCAAAGGTCCATTGGCCAAGAGTCGTTCCTCTTTCCCACTCCCGCAGTTCGCGCCATTCACCAGGAGGGTGGATTGCATCTTCACCGCGCCCCGAGCGAAGTGGACGTGCCCTGAGATGACCTCAATCCACCGGACCCTCCTAGACGTATCCAATGACGGCATGACCCTACCGACACATGCAGGGTACTTAGAGGGACCAGCTATTAAAACAAAAAGAAACACACACATATATATATAGAGTGCATATATGCCCCTAAATGAGCCAAAGTTGCTGAAACGTTCAGTCTGCTTAGCTTGGGTTGATGAACACGCCTGTACGCAAAGGAGGGGAAAGGAATGAAAGGGATTGAAAGGGCACTACCCAGTGACCAGTTCAGGCTGAAGCTTCACCACGGCATCCAGCAAGGCAGGACAGCCTTTACCTCCATCAGCACAGCCTTTGGCAGGGTTATGGGCAATCAACACATCGGTCTCGCCTGGGATCTGGTCGAAATACGGATTTCCAGTGTGGCAAGGCCAAAAGAAATCCGTCCCAAAGAAAGACACCGGAGGCCGGTCACAATGTGTCAACTTGAAGCCGGATTGCCGCAAGAGTGTGGCGTTGGACAACACCTCTCTGGCCCGAGAGTTCCAAGTCGCATTGGTTTCCTCAGTGCATTTTTCAACAACATGAACATTGGATGTCAATCTCCCCTCGTTCCTTGATTGAATTTGGGTTGAGATGGTATGACCTGTGATTGGCCGTGACACACACACACACACACACATGTACGCATCGCACCAAAAAACATGAGAAGTTCTCCGGCCCAACTGCCAGAAAAAAAGACAACAAGGTTGTGCGCCCCTACATATGCCTACATCTGCCTACCAACTGGGGTGAAAAGCTGAAGGAATCCAACATACATAAGATCTTCGCAAAGCCTCGTGGTTTCCTAGCACCACCAGCTTGGTCTTGTGTGGCTGCTCCCCCAGCCAGCGGTTGAAGTCCTCAGCATGCTCCTCCTTTCCAAACTGAGTGAAGTCCCCAGCGTGGATCAAGATGTCTCCATCAGGCACCTGCTCCATCAGTGTCATTCCAGAAAACCGGCCGTGGGTTACGGCTCCGGAACTTTCAACCCCCTGCCACCTGAAGACCTGGCCCCAACAGAAGCGCCGGAATGTCAACTGACTCACAGCACAAAGATCAACGCCTAAGTGGAACATCTGGCTCTGCCAAAGGCCTGAGACATGACCCCAAACCCGGGTGGCGACCAACATATTGACCAACGGATCGAGAACGCGGTGGCGGCCATGGCACGGTCAAGTCTCTGTGACAGTTGTGGGTGTCACTGATGATCACGAGTCGCAAGCCACGTCTTTGGCGCTCGCTGCACAGGTAGTCACAGGTCGTCGCTGCATCGCGCGAAAAGGACACCTTGCAGTTTGCAAGGTATCGACCAAAAAGACCGGTTGTAATGTAGTCTCTCCGTTTGTCGCCTCTTCATCTGGGAGGTTTTTAATCAAGAGTCTATACCAGCGCCCCCGTTTTGGGGTGTCTATTGATAGCCCCCTTACGGGAGCCCAGCTGTGCATGAGCCAATGTGCTCCATGCTGCCCAGGTTGCCCATTTGGACATGGCCACCTCAGGCCTCATATTGTGTTTTATGTAATATATAGAATATTTTAGAATGATTTAGAATGTCTGGGGTCTATCCTATTACCTGTATCCGTGGATGATGGCTCAGTTGCAGGCCTTGCTCAAAAATGATGATCATTGTTTACGGGTCCTGTTACAGGTCAGTTCGGACAGACCCATGTCATGTCATGTCTTAGATCAAGTCGCAAGGAAGGACACAAACGTGTGAACATGTGGATGCAGATAGGAGAAACTGTCTAGTAGCCACGTACACCCCACCAGACAAACCATTTAGTTAGGCGGGGTGATATCATTTGGCAACAAGATGAGTTGAAGCATGAGAACCTCATAGTTACCATTTAGTTGTATATTATATAATTACCATTATAGTACTATAGTGGTTTCAGAATAGATGGCACAATCCCCAAGTTTGGTGGTTTATATGGACCCCCACCTAAAAGACATCTTCGGGTGTCAGTGCCATCTACTCTGATGGCCCACTGTAGTTGTATAACTTATATTAGCAGAAACATGAGTTGCACAAGATGTTGGGTGCGATCCACCGATCTGGATCCATCATGATCCATCGGTTGAATTGAGACGAAGATCTGGTGTTTGCGCGGCTTAGTACACTCCCCGAACTAAGATGGAACTGGAAAAACCCTGTTAGTAGAGGAAAACGGTCTTTCAATGGGCCATCCCATCCACTTCCATGTTAGTTCCAGGTCAACCATGCGCCAAAGCGGGCCAAACAAACATCAGTGGAACAAAACACATGAACAGTCGCGATCCCGGCAAATCAAATCATGAAACCTGTTTGTCATGATCCACTTCGATCAATCAAACCCGTTTGGCACCTGCATCCTGCGAATCAATTGAACCTGGCCATGCGACCTGTTGTGCGTGAGTCCTCCTTCTCCGTGGGCACACCGCGAACAGGAAGCAAAGCATGCCCAAGGAACCACCAAAGGAAGTGGTCGCCATGGCACACGGTGGCACACGATGGCGGTGCAGCCCCGATCGAATCTGCTCCAGCCCAAGCCTGTGGATCAGCTTGAAGGGTGAAACAGGTCATGTTTCCAGCGAAGGCCATTGGGCTCCCTCAAAGGGTGCATTGTTCCAGAGTCTCCGTGTAGTGTCCGCGTCTGTTTATGCCTTTCCAGACTTCACAAACAAACATGTTCCAACCAAAAACTCATCAAGGACATCGCCCCCCAACACACTACTGTATGGGTGTTGATTCATAGGGAGACCTCCCAGTTCGACCTGGAAGAAGTTAAAATAAACCAAAACCATCCAAAACCCCTTGGTTGGGTGTCTCCCTATTCCTATCTTGCCCATGTGTGACCTGCATCCTGTCCAGCCCCCTCCGTGCCCCTCTGTGTGACCGGCATAGAGATCGACCAAGGGAGGCTCAATCAACGGACCTCTCGCTGGACCGGAGCGCACGCCATGGCGTGCGCAACGGACAACGGATGTGGATCCCAGGTACCAGCTATATTATTATGTTTTAATGTTTCTAATCCATGTATAAGCTATAAGTAATTGGAACCACTGCTTACCTACTATACTGGTAATTGGATCCACTGGGAATGCTTACCTTGAAGCAAACCAAGAAACCATTGGTTTTCCAATCGCTTTGAGAAGGCTTGGCATCCCAGTAAGCCAAGTCGTCAGCCTTACGCCAATACCAACCCTTCCCAATGGTGGCGCAGGAATTCATCTGCAAAGCACGGTCAGAACGAAGTGCACGCACACCCTTTGGTATTGATTTTTGGATCATCCTCCCTTCCCCAGACACTCCATGGGACTGCCATAGCCGCCCCATTGAACCCCAAAACCACCCCAAATGATCGGCATATATGGCATACATGGAGTGTCTGGGTTCCTTAATTATCCTTAACTCACAATATTCAAAACCCTTTTCTTTTGAGGTCCGAGTAGATCCAGCGTATTCATATGCATTCAGCGTCTTCCATCTCTTTCTATACTTACTCTTTTTGTGGGGGCCGGGCTAACTTGGTCAACAGTCCGACACAAAAACGACACTTCTTTACAGCCAAATGCACAGTTTGGAGGAGGAGAAGAACAAATCCTGTCACCGCCACCAACAAAACCACCAACATCCTGGACCCTTCCTCCTTGCCGTCTGGACGAAGAGCGCCTCGGACCCCCCCCGCCTTCCAAGGTGTCCGACACTGCAGACCCCGGCGACGGGCGCGTGTCAGAGCGGGAGCGCGTCGCGCGGTCATGACGGAAACGCCCGCCTGGAAACGAGCGAAGAGCTTGGTCGTTGGTTCAGGTTGAATCTTCGAAAGTGGGGGGAAAGTGGAACCCCAAATAGATAGTGGCACGGTGTTCAGTTTCGAGGGGATCGACTTTCCTATCTATTTGGGGGTCTATATCATGTGCATCGTTTTTCTTTTTCAGTTGGCCAGAGACCGATCACTTCTTGCAGATAATCACTTTTTGAAGAACATGCAGGTTGGGTGAGGCATGAGATCCGAGGAGGCCTCCTTTTCAGACGAAGGAGGCCTGAGATCCGAGGATACGAAGGAAGCTCGAGGATCGCATCTGCTGACGTACGACTCGTTAGACCAGAACCCGCGACGAGGAAGAAGCAGAGATGGGCAGAGATGAAGCATTACAAGTCACACTGGGAGGTGTATTCAAGAGACAAATGAAGAGCTCAGTGGCCAAATGAAGCTCACCATCTCAAGGACTTCTTTGATTGATCCCCAATGGCCTCCAAAGCTAGCCTCTATCAAGCCAGCAAACTTTGTCCCCTGCTGGGCCCATGATGTCCACGTTCCGCTCGTTCCGCTGTGAGACTGATAGAATTGCTGCGGTACTTGCTGCAATGGAACAAAATGAAGAAGGGGACATGGAGCAAGTCAACATCTGAGGTTGTCGAAGCACATCTGAGGCTGTCCAAGGGCACTTGGATGACGGTCCCGAGAAGAGCGAAGAAAACCGCACGTTACAATATCTCCTATCTCATATATTATCTCATATGCTGCTAGCTGCTAGTAGCCCTAGCATCATCCGCTTTAATCCGCTTAATCCCTGGTCCCTTCCTTTCCCTCCACCCCTCCCACCTGGTGGCAGTGAGTGTGCTCGAGCACGGGCGGGGAGCGCCGGTGGGTCGGGGGGCTTTTCGTCCAGGAATTCGTAGAGGTCGATGCCACAGCCCTCTTCCCTGGCGAAGAAAGCGAACCTCCAACGATGGAGGTCTCCATGCTCTGCTAGCTCACAAGCGACCAAGGAACCCAACCCAACCAAAGAAACAACCAACAAAAAACAACAAGTAATACATACAAACAAACACAACAAAACAAAGAACTGTTATAAAATCATACAAATACACAAAAAGAAAACAACAACAACAACAACAACAACAACAACAACAACAAC